TCTCTCTCTCTCTCTCTCTCTCTCTCTCTCTCTCTCTCTCTCTCTCTCTCTCTCTCTCTCTCTCTGTGTGTGTGTGTGTGTGTGTGTGAGAGAGACATGTAGTAGGCAGTTGATTTCTCCTTCAGAGTCAAACATGAAGGCAGGTAGGTAGAGGTAGACAGGACCTGGTCCAGAGTCCTCTGAAGCAACGAGCAGCAGGACCACAGTCCTCTGGACCAGGACACACGCGGACGTCATGATCAGCATAATCATCATCATAGCCACCGTACTCGTCGTCAACCTCCGTCGTCCTCAACCGTTGCAGTTAACCGATAAACAAATAAAAATTGTAATTAAACACTGAAATGAACCTCTCTTTTTACGGTGGAATCAGTTCATTACGTTGATTAGGTGATGGTTCTCCCTACTCCGATCTTGGTCAAGGCAGCGCAATACGTTTTTTTTTCTGTTGAGGCAGTACAATACGTAAATGAAGATCATGGTTTTCAAGTAATCAACGACTTTGCTTCCCCCCCCCCTTCCCCCCCAAAAAAAAAATCATGGAAGAGGATGGATGAATCAGGATGATGTCACGTGGATGATGATGATCATAATGCGAAGAACACTGGTCTCCAGAGGATCGGCTGCCTGCCTAATTACTGGAATATCACTTGTGCATTTTATTTATTTAGTAGATTACCTGTTGCGGATCCGCCTGCAAAGAAGAAATAATATTTTGCACATGAAAGAAAGAAGAAATAATATTTTGCACATGAAAGAAGAGAGCTCATCAGGAGGTTGAACCACGGCAGTCTGTCCAGGATGCATTTGACTGATGGATAAGGACTCACCACGTCACCCGGGGTTAGGGATACCCTCGAGAGGAGTGGTTGACTTTACTCACACCAACCCTCTGCGTGTGTGTGTGTGTGTGTGTGTGTGTGTGTGTGTGTGTGTGTGTGTGTGTGTGTGTAATTCTCAGCTCAGTCGATCGAGACGGTATGATTGAAAGTCACTCGTGACATTGTTGCTAAGCAGGTGCTGTCAATGAACGGAGCATTCAACATCCAATCTGATTGGCATTTGCTGCTCGCTACAAAACATTCGAGCAGCCGTATTTTATTGCTGGCCGTGCATCTTGGAGCATGTGCTGGAAGATATACGGCAAAGGCCAAACCACAAGCACACGGGACGTGTCAGAATCAGCCCGTGGAAAGCGTGTCTCTCTCTCTCTCTCTCTCTCTCTCTCTCTCTCTCTCTCTCTCTCTCTCTCTCTCTCTCTCTCTCTCTCTCTCTCTCTCCATAGAGAAACAATTAATGATCCAAAAGAAAGAGACGACAGAAGTAGCGATGGCCTCACACACACACACACACACACACACACACAGCGCTGGCCGTCTGCCCCTGACGCGCCGGCCTCCGCAACCCTCTCCCGCCCTGCGCCAGTCCTCCCCCCGGACTGCGCCCGCCCTCCTCCCCAACTGCGCCCACTCTCCTCCCCCACCGCGTCCACCCTCCTCCCCCACTGCACCGACCCTC